AAATATGGAGAAATAATTAATAGGACCAAAATTCAAAATGATTTCTATTTAATCAGACTTATTTTTTTATACTAAGTAATATATAATAAATTGCAACTGTAATAGATACGCGCTGAATTATCGCCGCGCCGAATTGTCGTGCGCCGTATTTTCCACACCAAATTGACGTGATACCATTCTTAAGTTGGGTTTTACTTATATTTTCCCCTTTATTTTGCCTCCTTACCAATTTATATAATAATTTTTATTTTACTTACTTTCTATAATTTTTGTTTGGTCTTTATTTTTAAGATATTTTATATTTATTAGATTGGGCCTATTACAAAGTATTTATTACATATTTATAAAATTACAAACAAAACTATAAAAATATCTAAGTTGGAACAAATTTATATAAATTTATTCAAAAAAATATCCCCAGTGTATAAAAAAGTTTAAACTAATAACCAAAATGAAATTGAATTATTTAATCAGTTCAGAATCCTAATGGCCAATTCTTACATAGGATTTGTTTGAAAATATTAGTTTAGTGTGTGATATAATTTCCTTAAATCCAATATTCAGGAGTATTGTTGTTAAACTTCTCAATTTTTAAAAACAGTGAACACAATATTTTAGCCACAAAATAAGTATGGAAATTTTGCTCATATATGGTAGAATTTGGAAATCTATTAACAAAATTTTGAGACTTGCATATTTTTTGACTAAAATATTGGGTTAGCCATTCTTAAAAATCGAGCTATTTAACAACATTACACAAGTTCTTTACAATTTTATTTTACTATATATATTAAATTGGCAAATATTAAATTAATGGTCAAAAAACAAAAATATTTTACATTAGAATAAAAACTCTAAAATATCCTTGCAGCCTTCTACACCTTTTTATGGTTTTAATCTATAAATAATAATTTCGATCTATAATATTTGATTATTTTTATATATTTCAAATTATTTTACAAAAAACTTGTCTAATTTGTAATATTCCTTTTTAAAAAAATCTACTTTGTCAATTTCAATATGAAGAAACAATCATTAATTTATTCCTATTTCAACAAATGTTAAGTAGAGATCTGCCACAAGTCTATTTGACTACTTTTTTATGCCACTAAAATATAAAAGTATAAAAGCTACATCACATCAGGTCCCGTATTTTAAAAGATGATAGATTTTTATAATAAGAGTAAAATTATTTTAGATATTTCGTTTATTTAATTTTTATTGCTTTTGTGCTTTTAGAATCTTTGTTCTATCTTGTTTAATGAGATTTAAATACTTTTATATTTATTAAACAAAGTGAAAAGAAAAAATTACATCTATTAAGATCATAGAATCATAAAATTTAAAAATATTTTGAATCGGGTAAAGAGAAACCTTTTCAGACGAAATTAATTTTTAAACAGTAATTTAAAATTCGTATTTAAGATTGAACCTAAGATGTGCCGTAATTTTTATTTCGCTTATTACTAATTTTTATTTATTGGCTGAAAAATTGATCGATGAATGAATTACATATTTTTCATTGTATCTATAATTTTCTTTCTAGCATTGCCAATCTTGGCGATTTTTTTATTTGCAAAAAATGTTTTTCTTTAGACTATTTACTAAACGGGTTGAAGTATTATGAAATACACACTAATTATTGACATAAATTTCCAAGATAATGCTTCCAGATCCAGATGTCTGGCTAACTTTATTCTTAAGACATCAGTTAGTTTATGGTTCATAGTGTTGTAAACTAACGAGTTAAAAATGAACGGCGTTCCTTTTACTTATGACGAACTTTGAACGTGAACGCGTTCCTTTTTTATGACGAACGCGTTCGAATTTAACGTTCGTTCAATTTTAAAAATACTTTTTATTTTTATTTATATTTCCGAATTTTTTTTAAAAAAGTTTTTTCGGCTCCGTATTTCCTTGTCACATTTCAATTTTTTTAACACATAGTTTATTGATTTGAATATTATTGTTTATATTTTAATTTAATAAATTAGCATGAGCATGGATATTATTATTTAATCCTCATCATCTGATTCTGAAAATCCAAAATCAGATGAATTATCATTACCATGGCCAAATATGATCAATCTTTTACAGTAACATCCTATATTGAAGGAACTAATTCAATGCTTACCAAGTGTAAAATGTGCCCAAAAAGTATTATATTGTCAAAATCTTCAGGTTCCAATTTAAAAAGACATTTGATTGTAATATTAATTATTTTATTTAATATAATATAACTAAGTAAAATCATTAAATTTGAAGATAAAATGCATTTGGGATATTTGACCCCAACAATAACGAGTTATTTTAAAATTAAAAAAAATTAGTGGCCTCAAATATGGTCAATTATTGATAGACGCCGTATTAAATGGGATTAATAAAAGGTATTAAACCTATCACTCTCATTTAATTACATTTTTTTAAAGATTTGAACATATGTTCTTTCTGCATTTATACATCCAGTATTCAAGCTTCAATGGCCATGGATAAAACTTCCACAGAACGAACCTATTAAAAATAAACCTATAGCGTTATTGAAAATTTTTTATTGAAAACCCTAAGAATGATAATGCAAGAACTGTTTATATCGAGATATCCTTTTTTTTGTCGAGGAAGTAGAAAATGGATTGGAGGAGGGTAACTTATCTCAATTCTTTGAAGCAAATAACAAAACAATAAATGTTTTTAATAAATTTCCCAAGTTAAAAGAGTTATTTATTAAATATAATACCGCAATCACCTCATCTACCCTTGAGCGCGTTTTTAGTATAGCTAATGCCGTATTAACTGTCAAGCGTTCCTGTCTATCAGATGTTAATTTTGAAAAATATTGTTACTAAAATAATATGAAAAATTTTTTATAAATAAAAATATCTTTTTATTTGATATATTATTTTGAATTTATAATAATATTATCAAAATAAAACTATATTATTTTTTAACATGGCTAATATTGTGTTAATAAATATAAGACATTTATTTATATTAGAAAATTAAAAAAAAAATTTATCATAATTTTGAACGGTTCATGAACGTGAACGCGTTCCTTTTTTTTTGAAAGTGAACTTGAACGTGAACGCGTTCGAATTTTTTAGAAATGTTTACAGCACTAATGGTTCACAATTCTGTTACTTTTTCATGGCTGGCAAAATTGATTAAAGAATTAATCAGGCAAGGCACTAAATATTGATGTAAACCATAGTTAGAACTTCTATATTCTGGGATAATACTAATTTTGACAATTTTTACCAATAATTTTTCTCTCAAACTATTAGACAGAATAAAGCAATAAAATATACTAATAAAGCTCTACTTTGGTTTAGTATAAGTTTTCCAAAAGCTCACTTTACGTTTAAAGCATGACATCATAGTTTTCATTTTGTTTATAACTCTTATTAGAGATCTGCAAAAGTAGGCAGGGCCCATACACAGTTCGGGCCGGGCCTAATATTTTTTAAGAAAATTCGGGCCAGGTCGGTCCTTAAAATTTTTTTAAAATATATCTAAATTTATCAATTTTATGTTGAATTTTTTATATAAAATAAAAATATATGGTTTTATTTATAGAAAGTAGATGCCATATAACATATATCGTTTATTTTGAGTAATTATAAAAATTTTCTATATTTAAATAAATTCGAGCCTGGCCGGCAAAATTTTTTTTTAAAAAATTTTAGGTTCGGGTTGGGTAAAACTTTAAAAAAAATCTCTGGCCCTGGCCGGGCTTGAAAAATTAGGTCCAATGTAGATCACTAACTCTTATTTCTTTTTGTGATTCTCTTTGAATGAAGAATAAAAAGTATCAGTCAGGCATTAAATATTAGCACATGCCAGATATGTAGTTTTTCACACTTCCAATTTTAGCACAAAATCTATTTTATCAATTCTCCTTTTTCTTTTACTGCCTATTAAATGGATTAAATTAATATACAATTATGCTCTAAACATTTATAAAATTTACGGAATAAATGCTTTCAGTCACTTTTTAATCTTAAGGTTGGCCAAAATTTGGTTAACTATAATTTTTCCTTCATACTGGTTAAAGTAATATATTAATAAAGCATAAAACATTGTCATATTTTAGAATTAGGGCTTGTACAGCGAGCTTTAATGGAGATTATAAAAAGACCACCAAAAAATCAATAACATATAAGAATTTGGGAAATCCTGGGTATGCCATTGATTGCATTGTACCTAGTATTCTAGGAGCCACTGGCTATGCAAGTACTTAATAATTTTCCCTTTTCTCTTGTAATCATAGGCCTAGTGAATGGGTTTTGGAAATTTTACTGTTTTTATAAATATTGTTAAGCATAAAAATTTCCCAAGTAAACTTCCACCACCCCTTTTTCCCAAAAAAATGTTTGCAGTGTTACTATAAACAATAATTTAGAAAAAAAGGATACTCGAGTATATTATAATTCAAAATTTTCCAAAAAAAGCTTTAATTATATACAAAAGCTAAAAATTGAAGAATAATTTTTCAAGCCTGCATTAATTAGTGTAGTTAGATGGCTTGATTTTTATAAATAGCTAACTCAATATTTCAGCCATAAAAATATTGACGAAGCGCCTTGAGATTTCACTAATAGAAGATGTCCAAACCTTCTTCTTTTTTTTTCTTTTTATCTATGAACAAAATTTTCAGGCTTCCATAATATTATTCTGGATAAAAAATGAGTTAGCCATTTTAAAAATCAGGTCAAATCGAGAGCCATTTAACAACACTAGACCTAAAGCCCTCCAATAAAATTATGAGCAAAAACTACCTAATAATGCCCTCCTACCTTTTGCAAATCATGGCAATACATATGCTGGATAATACTTAAATATTTCTTAATAACTTAATTTAAATATTTCTTAATAACTTAATTTTCAACATAAATTAGGAATAATGAATATCTTTTGATTTAATACTATTATAATAAATAATATTTAACTAAATCATTTAAATTTTATTCAAGAATATATTATACATTATTATTTTGCCATTGTAATTTTATATAATTAAAATAATTTTCAATGATTTCAATATATCATTTGATGTTAATATAATTAGTTTTTGATTTTAATTTATAACAATTATGATCAAATGCTAAATGATGTTTCATACAAAATTTTAGCCTACAATCTCTGCAAATAAAAGGTAGAATTTCTTTTTTATTACAATTACCAAATGAGCATATATTTTCCTGATATATAAAATAGGAATAATATATCAATTATAATAAATATTACTGGGTTTGACATTTTCATTGGATATAGATCACTTTTACAAGTACTCTCAATGTGTCTGTTGACAATCATATCAATGGGATGAACTTTAGGAACATAAATGATTTCATTGCAAATAGGGCATATTGGAATATAATTATCCTTCTTATGCACATTAATACATTTGTGATTTTCATATTTATAATGGGATATGCTAAAATAAAATTATTTATATAGTCTCAAACGTGAATAAGGCAATATATACCAAAAATATTCTTCACAAGCATCACATTTGAAAGGCAAAAAATCTAAAAATATATATTTATAAAATGGTTGATACACATAAATATACCTAATCGGTTACAAGAACTGAAGGTACAATTTTCACCTATTTCAGGGAATTCCATCGAAAAAAAATAAATAATTAATCCTCTAAATAAATTATTATTTTTTAATATATATGGGTCATTCCACGTCAAATCGATCACGATTCGGCTGGCCTGTTTTAAAATTGTTAAAAATTTATGGAATTATTTAGATAGGTAAAAGAATGAGAAAGCCGTTTATTTTAGCTCGCTAGCACACCTGGTTCTCGAGATATAGGGGCTCTAAGGTACAAAAAAGAGCCACTTTGGAATCTGTAAAATTTTTAAAATGCTTATATCTCAAAAACTATTTATAGTAAAAAATATTAAAATATATCATTTTGTAGGTAAAAATATTTTCTAATGGACTAACAAAGGATAATAAATATTGGGGCCATTATAGGCTTTTAACATCCGGTTTACCTAAATTGCTTTACCTGTATTTTTAAGCAAAATAGTGAGTTTGTTTTCGAATTTTTTTTATTGGTTTTTATTTATACACTTTTGCTAAATATATATACAATTTCAAAACCTTGGCTACGCTATCGACTCCAAAAATTAATAAAAAATAGATGGCGCTTTATGAAATTACGGATTATGGTTAAAATTTTGCTTCTAACTTATCAATAACCAGATATTTTCACTTTTTATATTAAATAATTTTGATTTTCTATTAAATATACTAATTAACTGAGGAGCAGAGTGGGCATATGCCCATTAGACTAATAATGTAACAAATTTCCAATAAATCTTTCATATAATTTTTTTAATTTTTAAGGTATCTACAATTTCATCAAATTTTTTATCATTTGATGAGAAGATAATGGTATATTTTCAATCGTTAAAACTTTTTTTACTCTAGATATTTTTTCTTCGAATATTTCTTTTCACGTAAGCGTTTTATTTTAATGAGAGATTCCCCATTTGATTGTAGGGATATATTAATGTTATCAATAGCCTCTTGATTAATTTTATGAAGGGGAGAATCAATATCTACATTGTCATTCGAAGTATAAGGAATGTTTGCTAATTTTTGTCGCCATGAAGAGCATATTAAGATATCTAAATTGAATGGTAATTTTTTTGGGTCATCCAGGGTAGATTCTTTTTAGATTCTCGCGAAATCTTTCTTAGATTCTCGCGATAATAAGCATGTCTCTGTAGATTAAATGGGTTGCAACATTTTAATATTTGGTACGTTCATCTGTGATATAGAATAAAATTTTAATTGATCTACACCTAGATTACGTGTTTTTGCACTCTCCAAATCCAGGTTGTTATTGGTAGACAGACGATAAAATTAATCTGAACGGACAGGTTAAAATTATTTCACAGAAAGAGAGATTGTTTTAAACAATTTATTTTGTAAGATATAATCTAATATATGCCTAATAAAATAATCGTTTTTACTGCAGCTGTTATATATTATCGAGCTAATAAGTCATTCGCTCGCCATAGTAGCAAATTAGAGCTCTAAAAAATGTAAAACATTTTAATGATAGTGGGAGGGGGGGGGCAGAACTGGAAAATTTTATCACAATTGTTATAAACGTATTTTTATTTTCCTTAAGAATAATATTTTTCAACCATTAGCGCCATCTACTTTTTTCTTCAATTTTTGGTTAAAATGTATATTATGGAAAAGTCGATAGCGTCGCCAAGGTTTTGACATCGTATATATATTTATAAAAGGTGTCTAAATAAAAAGCAAAAAAAAAATTCGAACACAAACTCACTATTTTGTTTAAAAATACAGGTAAAGCAATTTAGGTCAACCGGATGTTAAAAGCCTATAATGGCGCCAATATTTATTATTCTTTGTTAGCCCATTAGAGAATTTAACCTACAAAATGATATATTATAATATTTTTTACTATAGATAGTATTTGATATATAAGCATTTTAAAAATTTTACAGATTCCAAAGTGGCTCTTTTTTGTACCTTTGAGCCCCTATATCTCAAGAACCAGGTGTGCTAGCGAGCTAAAATAAACGGATTTCTCATTCTTTTACCTATCTAAATAATTCCATAATTTTTAACAATTTTAAAAGAGGTCGGCCGAAAAGTGTCTTTCTTGATCCATTTGACATGGAATGACCCATATATATCCGAAAAAATATCTTTCTACTGTCAAAAAAAAATTTTCAATTCAAAATATTAAATTTTTTACAATTAAAACTAATAAAAAAGAGATATTATCTATAATAAAAAAATATCTCAAATGGTAATTCAATAAAAACGAAACTATAAGTTCTCATTTGGTTCTAATTTAAAGCTTTGATGTTGCTCTGTCAATTTTAAACTCTTTAAGGTTCTATTGACCAATGTATATATAGTAGTGTTGTTAAAAAGGCCAATTCGGGTGAATTTATGAAAATCGCTCTATTAAAATTTTAGCCAAAATAATATTTTGTAAGACTGATTTTTCGATGGCAACAAGGTTTGGACCCCTATTTGCCAAATCTCGAGGCTTGCTATTTAATCGGTATATCCAAAATGGCGCTACTGCGGACTTTTATTTATGTAGAATTTTAAAGGCATTTAATCAATAAATCACGATACAATAAGCATATGTGCAAATATTTGCTGTATATGGTCGTCAGTAACGTCGCTAGGGGAAGGGGTGCGCAGGGGCTCGATCCCCCTGGAAAATGTGAATAGCCCCCTGAAGAAAAAAAATTTTTTAAAATAAAATCTTAACCCCTTGAACTAAAATAAATTTTTTTGATTGCCCCCTGAAAGATTTCTTTTATAATTCTATTAAGTAAAATATAGATTTAATTTTATTATTTATTAATAAGACTATCTAAATATTTATTAAATGAATACTAGTTTAAATATTAGATTAATTTAATACATATAAATTATATTTTCACTATGTCAGCTAGCAATCAAATTTTGTGTTATAAATAGAATATCAATATCACTCACTAAATATTAATTTAGCACTAACAGATTGACTATTATTATTTAAATTATTTTATAACCCTAATTAAATAAATATAATTATTTATTAATAGAAAACTAAAAAAATTTATATAGTAATTAGCAGAGTTCAAAATGACTCAACTGTATATTTATTTTTAAATTTTATTATCATACCTATTCCTAAAAATATTTTCAAGGTCCAAATAAGTATAATAAAAAGTAAGTAAGTAAACATATAGTTTATAATCCTCAATGAATTACTAATAAATGCTTTTGATAATAAATATAGTAATAATTATATATAAAATAAATGTTTATTATAAATCATCATTGAAAAATATATAATTAGTAAACAATTACGAAAAAAAAAATCATAATAACAAAAGGACAATATTGAGGCATAATACTAAATAAACAAATAAAAGCGAAAGCAGCAGAAATTATTCAAAACCTCCTTCATCTAATCATCAGGAGAGATCGAATTAATAAAACAAACATAATTAGCCTTAAGAATGGCTATTGCGATCCTCTGCCTTAACCCTTAAGTAAAAATCTTCGCGAGACTTCCCAGAATTTTTTCTGATTAGGCGGCCAATGTCTTTAAAAATGTTTTTAGTTAAATCATCATATGCAGTTAAAGGTGGAGCAAATGATGGGTATGAATATGTAATTTGAGGAATCAGCGCTGTATTTGCTAATCTTAAAATTTTGAGCTATGTTCAGAACGTCCTTGTTAAAATTAGAGGGGGAGTTAGTGTCCAGATAAAAGAAATCCCATATTAAAAACTTTCCTCAAGACCATGGAATACGTGTGACTCCATCAGGACGCCTAAAATCGGAAAATAAGCCAGTAGGTTCCATTGAGGTAGGGAAAACCAGCTGACCTAAGTGCAAGAGATATAATTTGATTGATTTCAAATGTCGAGTTTGCTGGCCGGGATTATGATTGCAATAACGCCCTCTATTTATTATAAATAATTTTAAAGATTAAACATTTTATTATTTATCCTACAATAAATGTAATTTGATATCTTTTCTTTTTTTTTCTTTTTCAAAAAACAGTTTTGAGTTAAATTTTTAATACAAGTATATTTTTGATATTTTTACAAACTACTATTATTTTAAGATATAATATACTAATTAGAGGTGGTGCGACAATATATAAAATCTTAATTATTTCATCATTTCATTCTGGTCCTTATTTTATAGTTCAAAAATGTTTCATTTCTAAAATGGCATCCTTGCCGTGTAAATAACTCAAGGCTTCAATATATTTGCACAATTATTTCTTCCAAAGATTTTTAGTGTTTTTATTTTATCAATTTATCCAACATAATAAATTCTGATACTAGTTTACATCGTGAGAGTTATGGCTATTACTGCAAATTAACCAGCATCTATTATTTGTGTTGCTATGTAATTTAAGATTATTACTATGACGGCTGAGAGCATATGATTGCATATGTTAGATAAAGAATAATGGTCAACTCTGTAGTAGTTTATATATTATATATCATTTAAAATGGATGATAATCATTTAGAAATTTAATATCTCACAATATATTTTCTCGATTACTTATCTAGCTACCATCATGTCATCTAAATGGAAGCTCTAACCACTTAATAGTTCTATAATTTGGATTGGTCGTTTATACTCTCTTCTTCAATGATTGTTGATTTGGTTTAGGCCTATAAATTTTTCCTTATTAGTCCATTCTATAAATGTGTAAAATCAGGCGCGTACGCAGGAATTTGGTCGTGGGGGGGGGGGGGGGGGTAATAAATTTTTTTAAGAAATATTATTGTTTTTTAAAAATATCAGGCATAAATTTATTAGGACTAATAACTATTCCTAATACACAATTTTAAATTAATGTGAATTATAAAAAAATTATATGTAAAGAATTACTTAAATGACCCAAAATAGAAATTTGAATTTTTTGAGCCTTTGCACAAAGAGTTTCTTATTAATAATTGTATTTTGTATGTTATATATTTACAATGTAAAATCCAATCTTCGTTGGGATTGAGCTAATTTTTCAATTATATCATCCTTGCTTGTCGTCAAATTCCTATGAATATTCAAAAGATCCAAACCTTTCAATCTACTTTCACATGTTGTACTTCTTGGTATGTTTTTCAGAGACCTGCTGGCTCGGACCCTGGGCCGGACAATATTTTAATTTTTTTAAATATACCCGCGCCGGGCCCAAAATTTTTTAAAAAAACACCCGGGCCGGACCTGATTTTTTTAAAAAAAACACCCAAGCCGGGCCTGAATTATTTTTAAAAAAACACCCAGACCGGGCTGTATTTTTTAAAACAGCCTATATTATAAATCGTTATTATTAGCTAT